AATGAGAGGATAAAAAAGGAGAGTGGAGATTTGGAAATATATAAAGCAGATGGAATGTTTTTTAATTTAATTATACTTTTGGAAATATTTTTTTGTTTCAATATAATTTTAAAATTTTAATTTAATTAATATTAATTTAATATATATTTAATAAAATAAGAATAAAAATGTCACATCATACATAAACATTAATAAAATAAATCATGATGATTAAAACATGAGCAACTTAAAAGTTGAGTGATTAAATTGAAATTTTTTAAAGTTTAATGACCAAACTATAAGAGAAAAAAATGAGAGGACCAGATTGAGTTATTTTCTTGAATTGGAGGATCAGATTGAGAGAGAGAGAAAAAGAGTTTGGCCTACTAAATTAGCTCTGTACTTTAATTTGTTAGAATTCGATCCTCGTAATTTACAGAAAATGAGATGATCATAACAAATTTATGTTATAACGAGTTGGAATTGAAAATATAACGTTATTTTCGATTTCCCCCCTATTTCATCGTCATTCTATCCAATGATCGAATAATTCAATTGTAGGAAGAACAGGTGAGGTTTGATTTCATATTTGTGGATGCCAAAAAGGAGGATTACATGAAATTCCATGAGAAGGTGATGAAATTGGTGAAAATTGGAGGGATAGTAGCATAGGACAACATTTTATGGTTTGGGTCAGCTGCATACAAACAAGAGGATAAAAAGTACAATGAAATGCCTGAATTTGTACATAGAAGTAAAGATTATGTGATTCAATTTAATAATTTCTCAGTATCTGATCACCGAGTCTAATCCACTCTTCTCTCCATTAGAGATGGTCTCGCCCTTTGTAGACGCTTATATTAATTACTTTACTTACGATGGTATAAATAATATTTAAGATTTAGAATCAAATTATTATGCACGAATCAAGTGGTCTCTGTGATAAATGGATTGTTCCTTGAGGACCCGGGTTCGAGCATCATAGATGCCAAGGGTGTGAGCACACAAGAGATACAGTTAGATGACACTTCAAGTAAATTGAAAATGAAATTTGATCAAGTTCATTCGAGTTTCAAACTTAAAACTCGACTCGAATTTCATTATACTTGGATTAAAAAGAAATGTGAAACAGTTTGTTCCCAACTTCGAAACGAGATTTAATCAAAATAACGGCAGGTGGATAAGGTCGCACACAAACTTGACGATGACGTTCCGGCTAAAGCCAAGCAAGCGATTAACCAAGCCCGACATTTCGATCACACGGCAGCGGAACATTCTCGGAAGCTAGTCGACGAGGCTCGAACCGAGGGACCGCGAGGAACGTTGCGTGGGTGAGTACAAGCACAGCTCGTTGTGGTAATGCTCAACCAAGTTGTGAGTAAGTATATGAAGTATATCATCTTTTTCATATAGCTTTTTAAAAGTTACTCATGACATTGATCGAAAATATTTAAAGTATACAGATAAGAAGGTTGAATAATTTAAATATCTATTTTTAACGAAAAATACTTAATATAGATGAAAAAAGTAATATACTTTAAATATTTATTTTGACTAAAAATATTTTGGATACTTAAATAAAAAAAATGACACACTTAGAGTACTTATTTTAAATTTGACATAGATCAAACGGTACCAGTGGTTAAAAAATTGTTATTATCCCTTAAAATCCCTAGTTCGAGTATTATGTGTAAAGATATAAATTTTTATTGTAGAATGATTTAGTATCTTTCAAAATGATTATAATATTACAAAGAGTGACATAATAGGGAGCAAGTTGGCTATTTTCCCATGAAAAGTTCGTTGATAAAGTTGCCAAATCTGACCAAATTAAAAACTATTTTGGAAACTTCTTATATTTCCACAAGCTTCAACAATCAAAGTGCTTCTTTCAATTAAAAAAAACACCTTTTTACACCATCAATATTATTTAATTTTCTCGATTAAATCATTAATTTACCAATTAAATTTTTTTATTTATTAAATCGAGTCAGATAGACGAAAGAATAACTCGTCCCATCAATGACCATCCCTAATATACACACAAAGATAGACTCGATAAATTCAATCAAAATACCTTGAATATTAATCATTTACAAATTTGAGGGTTAATTTTACCTCGTTTTATACTTAAATTGAGGCAATTTGAGATTTAAAAATTCTTAAATTCAGGTCAAATTTTCGAGTTAAGATTAAAATTGACATGTCTATCTATGTGGAATATAAGTATGAATGCTTCAAAGAAAGGGTAAACTACACGTTTAGTACTTAAATTATTAGTTTTAGTATATTTTAGTACCTAAACTTTTATTTTTTTTAAAAAAATCATACTTAAAATTTAATTTTTATTTCATTTTAATACCCTTGTTAAAATTCAATGTTAAATTTTTTAAAAAAATTGAAAGTTTAAGTATCAAAATGAACTAAAACTGATAGTTTAGGTACTAAATGTATTAAGCTTTTAATGTCAGGTATTAAAATGAAACAAAAACTAAACGTTCGGTATGATTTTAAAAAAAATTAAAAATTTAAATATTAAAACAGATCAAAACTGATAGTTTAGATAAATACATAATTTACCCTAAAAAAATACCTAGAATCCAGGAATTAGAGCAAGGCTAGCCTGATAAAATTTTCTGACACTTTCCCCAGAAAATAACGCAGGGCCCTAAGCTAATGTTTTCAACTCAATTCATCAATTTTCAGTTTTTTTTCCAACCATTTCACTGGGAATCAAATTCATTCAAATAACTGTACACACACATCTTTCGTAATCCACCATACTAAAATGCAACTTTTCTCACTATATTCAACAAGATTCACCAATTCCATAACCATGGAAGACAAAATCCATGGAATTTGAAAAGAAATCATCAAAGAGAAAGAGTTAACTCGGAATTTCATATATTCATGGAAATTTCAACCACAGAATTGTTAATCTTTTACAACAAAATTTTTCAGATTCTTAATGTAGAGCTCACAACACAGTTGTAAAGATACAATTCACCGAACTCTTTGCTTCTTTTACCACTATTATATTACATAACTAAATTTCCAAAAAATATATATAATATTATATAATATAAGAGTTAATGGGCAAGAGTCAATACCCGGTTGCTTATAAGCCACGGTTCGTCGGTTGGCGAACGGAAATCTGGACCGGAAGGGAACGACCGGTACCGGACCCACCGCAGCTTCTGCAAGCCATTCGACCCGACCCAGCGCAAGTCCGGCAGCCGACATCTCCATCGGACCAACGGGAACAAATGCACGCGATGCGACCCGTGCCGTTGCAAGTCGGGCATCTCGGAGACGGGCCGGCCATGGGTTTTTGATCCATGACGGATTTGACTAAGACGGCGCCGGCCAAGACGCTCAAGCCGGTGGCCACCTGAGTCAAAACGTTCGGAAACATATCGCCGGATAAGATTTTTTTTCTCTGATTTCAACGGGATTTGGAGCAGTGAGAGGAAGACGAAAGGAACTAATAGAAGCCGCAGAAAATGTAGAAATTTGAGAAATAAAATGGGAGAATATTTGAGATTTTTTTTAGGAAAACTAAAATAATTGGCTGTGAATTTTAAGTAAAAATAAAATAAAAGAGGATTTGAATTGTACACGTAAAGCCTATGGGTTTTTGGTGGTGCATATGGGGCTTTGGACTTTAGGGCTTTGGATTGTAGCTTACGTTATCCCACATGATAGGATAGAGATGGATGGATGGATTGTGTTAGATTAGGTCGAATTTTTTTATTAATTCGATTTGATTAAAGAAATATATACTTTCTATTCGAATCTGATTTAAAATAAGAATCTAATTAAAAAAATAATAGAGAGATATTATAATAATTATCTATAAATTTATATGAAAAAAATTATATTATTATCCTTGAGTTAGGTCGGGTCGAATATTTTTCACACTTTATCCAAATCTGATCCGAATTCATTTTATATAAAATCTGACCTACTCCAAAGTCGAATTTGTTTTATAAATTCAATCTTATCAGGTTGGGTCAAGTCAGATATGTCGATTTTAAATTAAATTAGCATCCCTCATTAAACTAAGTTCTTATTAATTTAATCTTAATTTTTTACAATTATTTAAATTTAATATCTAATTTGATAAAAAAAAATATAATTTGAAATTAATATATATATATATAAAGAGATATATTATAACAATTATCTTTAAATATATAAAATAAAATTATACTATTATCCCGTATTAGATAAAGATTTTTTTACCTTGAATTTGAATTCATTTTTTTTAAAAATAAGATTAACTTTATTGAATCAGATTAAAATCAATTAGATTCTGATTAAATTATCATCCTCAAATAACATTATATGATATAAATATTATATAAAAAGTATAAAATACAATAGAATAATATAATTATATTGTATACGAATCTTGTCTGAAATTAATCCTATTTAAGTTCATATATTCAGTTTGATTATCAATTTACAGGCTCATATGACTTGATTAATACAATTTTTAAGTTTGGGAGCTCAATTGGATACTACTTTCACGGAGGGACTCAGTTGACATTTTTGAAAAAGTATAAGGATTAAAATATCCCTTAAGCCAAGAAGTTAATAGTAATATTAAGAAAAATAATTGTACAAACCAAAGCACCACTTTCCGTATTTTTTTTATACATCAAAGTTTAGGTCAGGGGTGGAGCCCCAGTCCAGGATCAGAATATACTTAAGATCTAATTGAGATTTATAAAAGAATTTATAGATTATACACTAAGAGTGACGGTGATAGGATTCGAACTTAATCTTATAAGCTCAAATTCTTTAATCTCAACCACTCGTTGTCCCACCACTTTCGGTACGAGTAATTCACTGGCCAAAAGAATTGGTGAAGTTGAAGACTTTTATTGCGTATAAGAATTAGGAAAGGGGGTTTGTTGTTTCGAGAAATGCAAAATTATTTTAAGATTACATTATCATGAGTTTTGAACTAAAAAAAGAGAGTGAAATAAAACAAAAAATTACATATGGATTCTTCGTCAGTGTTTGGTTCTGCATTTTCTCTCTCTTAAGACCCCAGTTGGAGGGCTTGAAACTATGATGCCACAATCACCATGCAACCAATACGAATATTTAAATAAACCTCCGAATTTCGATCGAGCTCGGAACACCCCTTTGACTGTAAACATCACTTGATTGTTTGCGATCTGGTCCCGAAGGAGAATTGTTTCTTCCATTGAAAGCTTAACCTGACTGGTTATCATATGAACATTTGCAAACATGGTCTCACCTCTTGCGGCCGAGAAAGGTTCCAAGAATTGAGTAGAAATCAGGGAATTCTCGAAGTAAAGACCGAGATACATGTGACTGAAATCGATGTTCACCTTCTTGTTTGGATTTGTGAAGTTAGCCAGTAGACTAACATCGGCATTGAGCAGATAACCCATGTCGAGAGAGGCTGCATTCAAGGTGACGCCGTTGAGATCAAACAGTGGACTATGTGGTCGATAGACGAGGTAGACTATGAGGACGATTAGGCCTCCTAGTATCATGATCAGCAAAAGAATTACACAGACAATTGCCGCAGGCCATGCTATAGGGTTGGTTTGATGGTCCCTTGGGAGAAAAGGACTAGAGTGAGGACGATGATCTTGGAGATGCCTGCCGTGGCGCCGGTCACCTTCGGTGATTTCACGCTGTGGTCTTATCAGTGATGAGCTAGGATGTTGGTCTTGAAGTTGGGGTTGCAGCATTTCTTCTTTTGGGGTCGGATCTTGAATCGATGAGGGTCGTGGTCGTAATTGGGGGTGTCGATCCTCATTTTGTACTGGTGGCGGCACCCAGACATGTAATGGCGGGTGATGTTGGCTTTCATGATGTGGCTCTGGCAGAGATGAACCGAGTGGATGAGGATGTTGTTCTTGATCTTCAGGATCCCTTAGTGGGACACGGTGGTTACGACCGCGTCGTGGCAGCAAGGTAGCAGGTAGATAATGGCGTTGCTCGGGCGTTGTACCATCAGGATCTTCAATAAAATGTGGGTTGGTTTCAGCATGTCGATGAGCCATTCTGGTAATATGAATATATGACTAGAAATGAAGTAAAACTAAGCGATGAAGCTGGGTAATTAGTGAAAAATGATCAACTCCATGGGAGCTTCATGTAAAGGCAAAGAATCAAACAAAAACCGAGGCAAGTAATCTTTGATGATTCCTTTTCTAGATGCCACGTAAAGGGAGGCTTTGATTCTTGCTACTTGGAACTTTGCCTAGATATACTTAGGAGTGTAAATTAACAGAGCGTTCGGTGAACTGTTCGTGAACCGTTCTTATAACTTTCGTTTATGTTAAGTTGTTAAGCTAAATAAACAAAAATGAACAAAAATATTATGTTCATCTAATAAAATAATGAACATGAATAGAGGTGAACATGAATAGATGTGTGTTCAGTTCGTTTATGTTCACGGACAAACTCATTTATGAGCTCGTTTATCAACTCATTCATTTATGTTCATGAACAAACTCGTTTTGTAACAACCCGGAAATTTGAAGAAAAAAATATAATTGTAATTTGAGGTTTTAATTAAGTAAATTGGTGAAATTTGGGGACTAAATTGAAAGATTTTAAAACTTGTAGTTTATTTTAGAGTTGAAAAAAATTCAGGGATCAAGCCCTAAATTTAACCCTGGAGTGTCAACATTCACACGTTATAAGCGTGAAATTCATTCTGAAATCAAAATGAATTTTACCAAATTTCCTCCCTCAAAGCCCCAACTTCCAACCACGATTCCGACGTCGTCTGACCTCCGATTGTCGATTTGAAAACACCACCGTGTTCATCATCGAGCGAGGAACAAATCTCTTAAATTAAATGAAGTGAAATGCTGCCAAACGTTGTAAATTTTAAGTCAAAGTCTCGACGTTTTTTTAGCTCAATCACCGAGAAAATCTTAAATTCATCGCCGATCGTTGCTCCGTTTACGACACGTCCCGCACCATCGTGTTCCTTGTGCCGTTCCAAGTCCGCTGGTGTCATCCTTGGTCTCCGTCAACAGCAGCGCGTGGGGAGGTGAAGCGGTCAAAGTTTACGATTTGTTGAAATCGAGCTCTCCACCGTTCAAAAATTTGAACCGAGCTTTGTAAGTATCTCGAAATCGCTCAAAATAATTTTTAGAAATTTTTTCGTGAATTATAGGACACCAGAGGAGGTCCCACACGCCGCCACTACGTGTGGGGAAGGCTCGGCCAGTGTTGAAATCGGTTTTTAACCGGTTTGACCGGTCTGAACCGGGTTGATCGGTCCGAACCGGTCCGACCCGACCGTTGACCCAACCCGACCCGTTGACCCGACCCGACTCGTTAATCGTTGACCGTTAATCGTTGACCACCTTTGACCAGTACTTTGACCGACCATTAAACGACCGTTAATCTTTTCTGAATATATATATCCTGATATTTTTCGACGTCCCAAATCCATTTTTGGGATCCGTTTCACCAAATTTGAACCCGAAAGTCTTCAAATTGTCAGTCAAACCCTTTGACTTTGACTTTGACCAAGAATTTAAATATCCGGAAGGTCATACTTTATGTTTTTCGACGTCCTGAATCTGATTCCGAAGTCCGTTTTGCCAAATTCTGACCCAAAATTCCCAAATCGAGCATGTGAATCCAAAAAGGCTTAATATTTTAGTATTTTGATTATTTATTTGAGATTTGGTTAAGGAATTAATTCAGTAAAAATATTTTATGAAGGTACTCGTGTTTCACCTGAGCAAGGATCAGTTAGGTCCAGTGTTGTCCATTCGTTAAATCATCCTGAACCGCGTACTACGAGAATTACCCGTAGGTTTCTGTATATTATTTAAATAAAAATTAAGATTATTTATATTAGGATTCCAATATGGATTTTTCTGATTCGTAGGATCTAGCGCTGCAACAGAGCGTGATCGATAGACTTAGTAGTATGCTTCCTTATCTGATTTCTCAGACTGTTACAAGTGTGTTTCCTGACGGTGTTATCTTACTGTTTTAAACTATCATATGAATTGTTTCAAATTTATGATGATGTTGAATGTTATTACAACACGATGAGCTAGGATGTTGGTCTTGAAGGTGGGGTTGCAGCATTTCTTCTTTTGGGGTCGGATCTTGAATCGATGAGGGTCGTGGTCGTAATTGGGGGTGTCGATCCTCATTTTGTACTGGTGGCGGCACCCAGACATGTAATGGCGGGTGATGTTGGCTTTCATGATGTGGCTCTGGTAGAGATGAACCGAGTGGATGAGGATGTTGTTCTTGATCTTCAGGATCCCTTAGTGGGACACGGTGGTTACGACCGCGTCGTGGCAGCAAGGTAGCAGGTAGATAATGGCGTTGCTCGGGCGTTGTACCATCAGGATCTTCAATAAAATGTGGGTTGGTTTCAGCATGTCGATGAGCCATTCTGGTAATATGAATATATGACTAGAAATGAAGTAAAACTAAGCGATGAAGCTGGGTAATTAGTGAAAAATGATCAACTCCATGGGAGCTTCATGTAAAGGCAAAGAATCAAACAAAAACCGAGGCAAGTAATCTTTGATGATTCCTTTTCTAGATGCCACGTAAAGGGAGGCTTTGATTCTTGCTACTTGGAACTTTGCCTAGATATACTTAGTAGTGTAAATTAACAGAGCGTTCGGTGAACTGTTCGTGAACCGTTCTTATAACTTTCGTTTATGTTAAGTTGTTAAGCTAAATAAACAAAAATGAACAAAAATATTATGTTCATCTAATAAAATAATGAACATGAATAGAGGTGTGTTCAGTTCGTTTGTGTTCACAAGCTCATTTATGAGCTCGTTTATCAACTCATTCATTTATGTTCATGAATAAACTCGTTTACCCGATTCTCTTTTTTCTTTTATTTTTTGACATTTTAAGTATTGGTGAAGATAATGATTAAATAGAACACATGATAAAAGTTACATTGTAAACTATGAATTTAAGGAGTTAAAGCACCAATGGCGTAATTTTATCATTTTTCTTTAGCTTGCAAATGAAATTAAAAATCAAATATATAAACGAACGATAACCAAAAACTAAAACAACACTAAACAAACATGTTCATGAACACATTTGTGAACATATAAACGAACACGTTCGTGAACATTAAACGAACGTTAAACAAACATGTGCATGAACACATTCGTGAACATATAAACGAACACGTTCGCGAACATTAAATAAACGAACATGAACACCTTCAAAAATAAATAAATGAATATAAACACAATATTGAAAATTTAAACGAACATGAACCAAACACAGACACCTTAAAAAATAAATAAACTAATACAAACATAATCTTGTTCGTTCAAGCTGAGTTCATTTACACCACTAGGTATACTTAGGGATGAGCATGAGGCCCGAACCCGACCTGACTGGGTCGGGTCGAGTTTTTCTTTAAAAAAGATATTGGGTTAGGGTCGGATTTTTTAAAGGTGATATTCGGGTCGGGTTGGAATCAGGTTTAGGGTGAAAAATACCCGACCCGACCCGAAAAAAAAATATAATTTTAGTTTATATATTTATGAATAATTATAATAATACCCCTATATATATTATTTTTTCAATTAAATCATTGTTTTTATTGAATAAAAATAATGTTTTTTATTATTTTTTGAGTCGGGTCGGTTTCGGATTTTATCTAAAAAATTTGGGTCGGGTGAAGGATGTAAATTTTTTTGGTCAGGTCGAGTTGGTCGAAACCCAAACTAAACCCGACTCATGCTCATCCCTAGTGTACTGTTTGCAAAACCATGAAAATAGTTTTTGGGCATGGCAACAAGCCCTGCCCAAAGGTTAAGACCCATTTTGACCAGGCTTGACCCATAGGTCCAGATTTATTATTCGTTTAAATATTAAAAATGCTTTTATAACTATATTCAAAGAAAATTTAATTTATAAATAGTAATTAGGGCTGGCTGGAATTACAAAATGCCTCATCCAAGGTATGACCGAGACAGGCCGTATAGGTAGCTCAGCCTCGGACAGATCTAATGGCAACATTTTGGGTACGTACATGTGCATGACTACATGATATGAGATGAAATGTAGCATTCTTTTCAGAAAAAGGGTAATGGTTAAATAAAGTTAAAATAACTTTTAAAAATATATGAATTATTTAATTATTATTTTTATTTCTAAATAAAGTGAAAATTAAATTTTAATTTAATAATTATTTAAGTAAGTATTAGGTTCAGTATAATAAAATCACACTATAGTTGAGTGACTAAGCTTTCGGTGACTAATTTAAAATATCTCAAATTTGAATCTTATAATCATCGAAAAATATTGATTTTGTGATGATATTGTTATATAAGTCAAATTCAAAATGTGGTAAAGTTTACCCAAATGACTAGTTTAGCTCAATTGTTGAATGATTTGTTTCTAATGTAAGATATTCAATATCAATTCATATCATACTAGAAGCAAACATAATTTCTATATTTTTATAACATAGGTGATGACATATGTCACCAGCTAATTGGCAGAATAAAATTAATTAAAAAATATTGACAAAGAAAAAAGATAATATAGTAAGTAAAAAGTAAAAAAAATGACATGTTATGCCACATAAGCATTACTGTCAATGATTTTAAAAATTTGAAGTTTAAATATTAAAATTAAAAAAATGATAATTTAGGTACAAAATTGTAATTTATCCTTTCTTAATATTTACTTAATAAGGACAATTTAACTAGTGATATGTTTTGGTACGTTGCTTTAGTGGTAAGTTGCGGTATGCGATGTGCGATATATAAATTTTCGTCGAATATAGGTATATGCACAATGACGGATCCATAAATATTTTTCAAAGTGGACACACATATATATTAATCACGTAAAATTTTGATAAAAGATAGTCACAGCTAAATTTCAGGGTGAACAAAACTATTAAAATATGTAAATATCTGAAGAAAATTTAAATTTCAAGGTATGCATGTGTTAAAATTAACACATGTGAACTAATAACTTAAAACTAATAATAGTTTAATCGAGAACTTATAATTACAAGAGAATGTAA